TCCTTATTGATAGACCTTCGGGTTGTTTCCAGCTTTTTGCCACTGCAAACAATAAACTTCCTTGTACACACAACCTTGCAGTCTGGTGCTTTTATTTCTGTGGAATAGATCCACACGTGCAGATTTCCTGGAGCAACACCTTTGTGTCATTTAGATTTTATCAGACATGACCACGTTATGTTCCCACACAGCTGCAGCAATTCCCATTCCTACCAGCAGTGTACGGCATCAACTTGAAGGAGCTTCTGTGTCATATGCGAAGACACCTTGCCCACAAACGCTGCCAAGGCATCTTCTCTCCTTTGCAGAAGATACACCTAAAACTTCCTAAGTAATGTCTGACCACAAGGACCATTCTATTTTCCACAAGGAAAACTCTAAAACTGTTAGCAGTTCCCATTCTAAACCTTGTCCTTGGCCCCAAACATCTGTAAAACAGGCAGTGAGTGTGTGGACTTCTCTCTCAGAGAGTGGTGTGTGTGCACAGCCCCATGCTCCCCAGCAACCAGGGGAGGCAGGGGGTGAGGTTTGGTCCTGGCCTTTTGATTAATGTTTAGCAAACTTACACATGCGAGTGTCTGCATGGCAGGGAGACTGCCCTCTAGAACATGAAACTCAGAAGGAGCAGGTGTCAGGCAGGCAGTCGGCCTCTCCCTGGAGCCCCTAACGCCCCTCCTGGCTGAGGATGTGCCTGACAACAATTAGAAACTCCACCCTCTGGTCCCAATGCGGGGTGTCCCAGCTATAGTCATGAGTTTGTCTTAAGCTGCCCACACTCTCTGTCTCAAGCTTTCTGATAACAAGTGACTGGTTTAGCGTGGTGACTGATTAGGGCAGGGACCCCAGATCCTACTTCATATCTGTGGTGTGGTCACATCTTGCACCCGCACCCAACACCTTTTCTTTCTTGCTGTATATGGCTGGACAAGGACACCCTCAGATGGCCACGTGTTGCTGCGTGGCACAATCTGGAGTCTGCCAAGGTCGCTACTGAAATGCTGACAGCAGGGCGGTGCCCACATGGAGGCAGCAATCTGCGTGATCACAGACCACCCGCACCAGGCAAGTGATCAAGAACACTTACACAGACGTGATGTCGTGATGGGCTTCGGCTTCCCTGACTGAGAGCTCAGACACCGCTCTGTTGAAGAGCAGACCTCTTTCTTGTTAAGCCCGAGGCTATGTGTTCACTCTCTTTGCCCAGGGCCACGAGTCAGAGATAAGCACAGGGCCATGTTTTCCCTTCTCCCTACCAGCAGAAGACCCCATTTCAGTTGGGCACCCAGCTCTCCTGGTGGAAGGGAAAAGAGCCAAACCCCATGCTACAGGGAATGCATGACCCTACAAAATGGCTATAAGCCAGAGAGTTCCTGCAAACTGGGAATAAGGTACTATGTCTTTGAAACATTTCTAAGCCCATTCCAGACCATTCAAAGCCTGGCCCAGAAGAACAGAGTCAGCCGTTCCCCCAGCAAATGGGAGCCTTTACCTGGGCCCGTGGTTTTAGGGGTTTCACCTCTGAGCAGGAGCAAGCACGGGGAAGGGCTGAGATTCCACCCCCTGGAGCACCAACGCCCTCAGGCCTCACTCACATAATGAGCCCAGACCCCAGACAGAGGGTGAGTCTGTCTCTCTGGCATTGCGTGAGAGGCCAGAGGCTGAAATAAGTCTTGTGCATTGACCACCCCCCTATTAAAAGGAACTCCCTGGTCAGCACAAAGCAGACCCCCCAAAAGAGCTCAGCCTCCCGTACTCAAGTGTAGTGACCTGTGCCCCAGTCTGCATTTCATACCTCCATGCGCCCACACACCTCCTCCCGCCCTTGGAAATCCCAGATCTTATTTTAACACAAACCCTTTCTTGGGACTGAAACAATACAGATTGTTTTAACTCCAAGGGTCTTGGCCGTGAATTGTGAAAGGAAGTTAGCAGAAGGCCAGAGAGGATCTAGAGGAAGCTGGAAACAGGCAGGTCAGGGCTGGAGGAACTAACACAGCTGGCCTCCCTGGATGGAGGGAGATGGACGGGGGTGGGAGGGTAAGGGGGCTAGGGAGGGAAGAAGACCACCCGTGGGTGACCAGGAGAGAATTACATGCTCAGGCTCATCAGAGGTGATGCCAGCATCCAGCAGGGGAGGTGTTATGCCCCCAGGGGCTCTAAGCTCAAGAAATAACTTTCAGCAGCAAGGAGGGGGATTTTCAAGGAGGAAGCGGAAGGTAGGGTCCTGGCTAGATGAGAATAGGGTCAGTTGTGTTGTGCTAGAATTTCCAAATCTGTAATTAAGGTTTCTAATTTTTTTAACTGGCTGTTTTGACTCAGGACTACTTAGCTATCAAGAACAAAATGGAGGAGCTTGTGGCATCTCTTAAACATCATTTATCCCTCCCTGTGCCTAAGCCAAACTGCATCATCACCTCTGCTCCCCAGGGGAAAAAAATAGAGGGGAGCAGGAGGCATAGTGTTGGTGGGTTTTCCTCAGCTCTTGGCCCACTTGTCATAGCCAAAGGGTGGAGGCCCCCCCCCCACCCCGTCACAAGAGCTGGTTGACACAAGAGCAGACAACAAGGAGTTCCTTATGGAATTTCAGACTTGCTGTGATCT